ACATTGTAAAGCGCTGCACAAACTGTTGGCGCTATATAAATATTATGTAATAATAATAATATTAATAATAAATTCATCTGTTAGAAAATTGATGCCGGAACAGGTGTCCCCACTGGAAGATTTCCCCCAACTTCTTGTTCTAGTGAGAGCTCTATCATTTTGAATATCCCATCATTATCTGTCTCTGTGACAATGGTCACTAGGATAAATAGAGGGGTGAATTTATCTAGTGGGAACACAGGCAGCAATGAAAACCCAACAGGGTTAGCTATGCATACACTTGAGTCTCAGGTGTAATTTTAAACTGGAACAGGGGCAGTGGATGCGAGTCCCAGCGCTGGTTTTAAAGGGCAGTTCTCTTACGTTGCTGTGGCTTTTAGTGCTCGAACTTCCCGCTGCCAGTGACAACTGGGCTCCACTTTTAGAAGTATTCTGTTGCTGCACAGCTAAATGGGGACCAGATCCAGATGCCCCAAAAAGGAAAAAAGTGTAAAAATAAATAAAGAAATAAAGAAACAAGCAGCGTGTGTGTGTGTGTGTGTATGATGTTGGGTGATCTGGATGACATTTGTGTTCACTGCGACAACATCAAATGCTCACTTAAGTGCACGCAATGTCATTTGAATTTTTAGCAATCACAAACCTGAGAAAAAGTTGCCCTTTGTGCCCTCATCAACCCAACCTAATGTTATATAAATTTTATGCTAACGTTAATGTTATGCTCTATGTTGCCTTGAGAAAAATCACAGAAAAATCTTTTTTTTTCCAATTTTTTCCTAATACTTTGTTGCACAACCTGTAGAGGCCATCACTGAATACAAGTGATTGCTGTAGCTCTCAATAAGAAATCTGCATCTGCCAACAGGTAGATTGGCTCACTCTTCCTAAGCAAAATGCTCCAGTTATCTCAGGTTTGTAGGGTTCTTCTCCAGAATAAATGTTTAAGCTTTTCTCATCGATGTTAAATAGGATTCAGATCAGGACAGAAGACCACTTAAGAAAAGTTTTGTTCTTAGCCAGTTTTGGGTGCTTTTAGCTGTGTGTTTTGGGTCATTATTCTGTTGGAGCTCCCATGACATGTGACTAAGGCAGAGCTTTTTGATGCTGGGCAGTACATTTCACTCCCGAATTTCTTGATAGTCATGAGATTTTATCGTGCCCTGCACAACCTCAAATAGCCCAGAGCTATATGCAGCAAGGCAGACCAATTTCATCTGTAAACATAGAGCTGATGTGACTTACCAAGAAGCTCCAGTTTTCTATCATCTGTGCAAAAAACATTCTATCAGAGGTGTTGTGGCTTGTCAATATGCATTTCAGTAAATTCCAGTAAAGGCTATTTATTTTTTTCTTTCAACAGTAGAGTCCTCCTTTTTTTTTCAAAATGCAATCGATGGTGCAATCAGATATTGATGTACCTTGGAGTCCAGCTTGTATCTCTTTGGAAGTTTTCCTTGGCTTCTTGTCTACCATTCACAGTATACTTCTGTCCAATCTAGGGCTGACTTTCCTCTTTTGGCCACATCCAGGGAGGTTGGCTACACTCCTACGGACCTTAAACGTCTTAATAATATTTGCTACTGTATTCACAGGAACATTAAGCTGCGTGGAGATGGTGTTATGGCCTTTACATTTGACATGCTAGTCTATTATTTTCTCTGTGATCTCTTCAGACCACTCTCTCATGTTCAGTGTGGTGCACACAATGATACCTAAATGACACTGGTTTTCTCCATCTAAATAGGTTGACTGACTGATTACAAGATTGAAGACATTTATTATACTAATTACAGAAAACAGTTAGTTTGAACTATTACTATGATCCAATTTTTTATAACTCTTTGGGCTACCAACAAATCTGTCCAGGCTATTTTGGAATATGTTTCCTAACTTTTTAGGGAAAGAGAAGTGAAGGTACCAACAAATTTGTACACATCAGTATCTGTCCCAAAAAATAAAAGATGTATAATACATCGGAGTAGTCTACAAATGTTAAAGGGTAATATATGCAGAACTGCGACATCTCCAAAATGAAAACAAATTCTCTAGAAGAGCAAAAGGCCAGGGATTCAAGTGTTTTAGGGCCTGTTCACACGACGTCCGTTTTCTGTGTTGACCTGATCCGTTCGCTACTGCACTAAAAATGCATCCCAATGTATCCCTATGTGTTTTATGGGCTACAGTTCTCACGTGCGCAGTTCGTTCAGGTTACGGCAGAAAAAATACTGCATGTCACATTTTGTCCGGTCAGGAAACGGTCCGGAAACGCAAAACGCGTTAAAAACACAATGCACTGCAGCTAACATACTGACAGTCCCACTCCAGCAAAAAATAAAAAATAAAAAAAATATTTTAACTGGAACGCAGCAAAAACACATAGCACTGCGTCTGCAGATCCGCACCTGATCAGGACCTGAAAATCATGTGAGCAGGCCTTAAAGTTAGAGATTCAATAACTGCCTAATAAACTTTATTTATTGTTATCTATTGACAAATATTTAGTTCATTCTCATCATTCTTTCTTTTAATCTCCTTAGGGTTTATGATCCAGACTCTCTACTTCAGGTTCAGTTTAACAATGGACATACAGACCTTATCCGGTCCCTTATCCACATTCCAGAAAAGAAGCAGGTATGGCGTTTATGCACATTTACATATGATGTGAAAGATAAAAAAATGCAAATACACATAGCGGCTGACTTATTTTTTGTTTATGCCTTTTCAGTATGTTACAGTGTCATGGGACAGGACAGTGAGAATATGGAAGGCTTATCACAAGTTCAACAGCCAGAACAACTCAATAGCTTGATCTACGAGATGTACAGACCAATACATTTCTTGGGTTACATGATATTAAAAAAAAAATTAAATGTACTATTATTGTATTGGTTTATGCAGAATGTATTTTAACTTGAATGTATAGTAAAAATGTTTTTTGGGTACAAGGAGTGTTTATAAGCTCTACAGACATCCACGTTTATTGTAGCAATTCTTATAATTATATTACTTCTACATCCATATATTGTAGAATAATTTATAGTTATAAGGTACTTTTCTCATCTACCCCTACCCCAATGAAGCTGAATTAGTTGTGTGTGCCTGTGGAGCCCCGTGTATTCTAGACCCAGAGAGTACACCTGTAAGACCTTAACTTCCTTCCAATCCAAGATTTATCTCCTCCCCCCCCCTATTGCTAAGCCTCACACTTGTCATTTAAATGTTTGAACTTCATGGGCAATTAATGCTCTGATATTTGACATCTGAATGGCAAGGACATGGGACCAATAACCAAGAGCTAAATTTCAATTTAGCCAGAAGTTGAGGCCCCATGTGCAGCCAGATCCTAGGATACAGGGCTTCTTTTTTTACTGCAAAGATTTCTATTGAGTTTTAGACAAAACAGTGACATACATTAATCTAATTTACAGTGTTAACATGACAAACAGTCGAAAGAGTTTAGAAAACAGTATATTGTATAAAGTTTGTTTGACAACACATGGGAACAAAAGCAAAATGCATGTCTGATCCTCAGAGTAGTATACTGGAGCAGGGTGGGAGATGGATTACATTATTAGGTGTCTGGTAATCTACTGTGTATGCATAATCCCTTGGTTATAATCGGGGTTCGTGAGTACAGAGAAGCTGTGTGGAATTTGTATAGTAGTTCTTATTGTTTGGGAGATTAAATGATTATTGAGCTTGGTAAAAGGGGGAAGAGAGGAATAGAAAAAAAAAGTGAAGAAAAAAAGAGAGTAGTGAGAGACCGAGGAGACAAAAGTCGAAAGAGTCGAAAAAAGAGGGAGAGAGAGGAAAAATAGAAAAAAGAGGAGGAGGGAGAACAAGAGGAACAGTGCAAAAAAAAAGGGGGAGAGAAAAAGAGGAAGAGTGAAAAAAGAAGAGGGGAGAGAAAAAGAGGAAGTGTGGAGAAAAAAAAGGGGGGGAGAGAAAAAGTGGAAGAGTGGTAAAAAAAAGGAGGGGTGAGAAAAAAAGGAAGGATGGGAAAAAAGAGGAGGGGAGAGAAAAAGAGTAAGAGTGGAAAAAATAATGAGGAGGGGAGAGAAAAAGGAGAGTGGAAAAAAAAGAAGAGGAGAGAAAAAGAAGAGAGGAAAAAGAGGGGGGGAAATAGGAGAAAAAAGAGGACGAGTAGAAAAAAAGAGAGGAAGTTCTGGAGTTAGCCCAACAAATAAATAGAAGAAATCTAAATGGTAGTTTGTGGGTTGGAGATAGGTAAGCTATTGTGATTGTCCTCATCATTACTGTCTACGTATTCACATTACACAATAATGCAATTCTGAGAAAAATCACTTTTTATTTTTTACATTTTAAGTAAATAATGCTGTTATTGTAACAGGTCTTATGGACCAGATGGGTATATTTTGCTAATAAATATATTTAGCTTAAATTTAACAGTTTCCAAATATCTTTTCCACATAATGCATGAAAGAGTTTCATCAACATTGGCATCTAACTAAAAAATAAAGAAAGAAAGAAAGTGCTTACCTACTATGTGCAAGCATATGCAGGAAGCATAGATGGACTTGGTAAAATGTGAGATTGATAGCTATGGGTTACCACACTGTCTTATAGATATGCTCTTTACTTTCCACTCTAAACAAGAAAGAGATGAAAGGAATTCTACCACTGCACACAATTAATGTTACATATAAATAACTATCAAATATACCCAGCATATACATTTCACTTGTACCTGTCTTTTATCTGATGCCTCTGAAGAGAAAGATTCATAAAAGTAATATATCCTATGGTTAAAATGTGCATATAGGTGCGGTCTACTTTTGTTCATTGCTACACCGTTTTCCATGTAAGAGGTTGCATAACGTGAGTGGCTGTTTATAGTTGTGTCTTGTGAGAAAGAGATGTGCTACCTACAGCAGATGGCAGGGGGATTAGAAAGGTAATTACCTAATGCTGAGACAAAAACTGCAACTAAGTCTGTCTTCCTAATCCTCATTCTAGCACTGCGATTAGACAGTGTGCTACACACTGAGAAAAATATATAGGAAACTGTTCATTATAATGCTGCTACCACTGTAACCTCAGACACCTTATTGTAACCCCACTTAATGGTTTCTTTACAAGACTCCTGTACATAAGGAATGTAGCATTATGGGTGAAGTGCAAAAGGTAAGTGCAAACATATTTTACACATATGCAAGACACATACAGGTCTATTCACAAAAGGATGATGAGTGTGGAGAAGGGAGGAGAAGTGAACAATCTAGGACAACATAGCTGATTTGGAAAAATTATCCAATTCAGCTCACTTTCCAGTTCAGCTATGTTGTCCTAGATTGTTCCCTTCTCCTGCCTTCTCCAAACTCTTCACCCTTTTGTGAATAGACCCCTATAGTTATTTTATTGCTCTTTATTACAGGCATGGATTTGATTTGGTACATTCATAGCGGGTGATGTGAAAAACCCAGACACTCTTTATGCTACAATCATGACATAGAGAATGATTTATACTTTTGATATACAATATCTACTTCAGAGCTACCAACCATGGCATTCCATGGTGAAAAGTTATTTAAGGTTTATCATTTGCTCTAAAAAATAAAAAAAAAGCATGCGGTTTTTAAATATCTCAAATATTACTCTGGTAAGCACCCCTGGCAGTGTTACATTTTGTATCAAGCCCTGGCAATGTCATTTTTGCTGGTCAGCTTGGTCTGCATTTCAGTGTGGAGACAAAATAAAAACAGGCATGTGAAATAAACAATAAAAAATATACTGAATATGGTCATTACATGTATGAACCACACATTTACCAGAATATGACATTTATGATAAAGTGTTTCCTGAAGGTACTTACACTTTTTACGGTATGATTAAATTTACATTACATTTAGGAAGGGTTGTATAAGAATGTAATTATATGTGAGAATGTGCATGATAGAGCAGAGTATAAATATGCGTGTATCAAATGAAATGTAGAAATGCTAATAAATTATTATTATTAATATTATTATACAGGATTTATATAGCGCCAACAGTTTGCGCAGCACTTTACAAAACAAAGGGAGACAATTAATAATACAATTTCAGTATAGGAGGTAGGAGGGCCCTGCTCGTGAGAGTTTACAATCTAGTAGGAGGGGCAAGTGATACAAAAGGTAATAACTGTTTGGGATGATTTAATGGAAGAACTGAAAGTACTGTTATATCGAAGTTGAACAGGCCTCCGTGAAGAGATGAGTTTTCAAGGATTGCCTAAAGGTGGACAGAGTAGGAGATAAGCGGACAGATTGGGGTAGGGAGTTCCAAAGGATGGGAGACACTCTGGAAAAATCCTGGAGGCAAGCATGCGAGGGGGTGACAAGAGAACTGGAGAGCAGGAGGTCTTGGGAAGAACGAAGGGGGCAGTTTGGGTGATATTTTGAGATGAAATGGGTGATGTAGTCGGTGGCAGAGTTGTAGATGGCTTTGTAGGTTTTTGTTAGTATTTTGAACGTTGGGGAAGTATTTTTATACGTTGGGGAAGTGGGAGCCAGTGGCACGATTGGCAGAGGGGGTGGTGGAGACTGATCGGTTGGTAAGGTGAATGAGTTCGGCTGCAGCGTTCATGATGGACAGCGTTCATAGGCTGTTTACTGGTAATAATAAATGGGAAAATGTTTCAGTTTTAAGTGACTATTTAAAAATGTGTATGATAAAAACCTCCATATTTACATGACAATCTTACACTAATATTTTGAATTACAAAGATGCATATCTGTCAAAATATGAATTTGCCAGATAATATTTGGCATCTTACTGTATGAAACATCAGACAATGAAAACAGAAAGCTGGACTGTAAATAACATATGTCTATGCCTAATGTTAAATTCTACATATTAAGACATTTTATTATCCGTGTTCTGGGTATTCTAACTGATATCTAGTAAATTATGTCATAAATAGAAGTGGACGGCCTCAGCAATATGATATCGTTAGATATTTTTTAGCAGTAATCAAGTTATCATTGAATCTATCATTGAATTTCCAAAAGAGCCATGACATGCAAACTGTGAATTCTCAAGTGACTGGAAGCGTCCCAGATGAAACCATTTATTGGCTATGTAAAAATAATTTAGGTTTTCTTTTTTTAAATCGGAAGCACATTTTATGCATGATTGCCTAGCTGAGGATCTTCACCATTTAAAGCTGTTTTAAGGTGAAACTTGTGGGTGATTCAATATAGCCATTGCGATTTCTAGAATTATTGTTATAGGAAGTGTAGTGCCAAATTCATGTAAACCTCGTGACAGTTTCCTTGCTTGTTCGTACATGTGCAATGCATTCAATTCTTGTTTGCAACACTAAACGAATGTAACAATGATTGCGACAAATTCATTACTAAATACAGAAAGATCGGAGATAAAAAAAATAAAGGTAAATAAGACCATGCGATCACCTCCTCTCCTCCCGACACTGCTTGCTAGGAGGCTGTTGGCAGCACAACATCCTAGGTTGCATGACCATGTTGGCTGCATAGTGTCCTTGGTTGGTAGGTCACTGTCAGCCACACAGAACAATAATCATCACCCTGTGTAGCCAACAGCCTCATAGTAATCGAGGAGGCAGGTCTACTGACAGCATCATAGCAACCAAGAATGTTGTGCAGCCAACAGCATCATAGCAACCATTACATTGTACATTGTAAAATCACCTTTAGATTTACTAGTAACTATTTTTTGCAAATGCCTACCTGAATGTATATACATTAAATAGATTGTTTACATAATATATATTGTGGTTGTTGGTGAATTGGTTAACAGATTGTACATTTACAGGGCTATTCACAAAGGGGTGAAGAGTTTGGAGAAGTGAACAATAAAGGACAACATAGTTGATTTGGAAAAATTCTCCAATTCAGCTCAATTTCCAGTTCAGCTAGATTGGTCACTTCTCCTGCCTTCTCCAAGCTCTTCACCCTTTTGTGAATAACCCTGTTAGTCTTTGGCCAGGCAAAGCCCCTATCATTAGAGGGTACCCTTCTGAATAACACATTAAATGGATCTTTTTTTCACTCACAAAATGAGTACAGTTTTTGCCGTTTTTTTTAATCTCAGTTGCATTCTGAGTTTTCTTGTTTCCTTGTCTGTACAAAATATTTATGTACATCTTATACATATCTACAGTCATAATTATATGAACTGTAAACTGCCAGAGACTGGGCTTAGCACAGCCTTTATGTCACAAGAATAATTATAACCCATGGAGTGCCTTTTCCCCCCAGCAGAGATCATCTAAGGTCATCTGTGATCTGAAAGCTACGAACTAAACGACCGGTCTGTGCAATCCATTTGATAAACCAGATGCTAAAGTCTGTGGATTAATTTACCCTGATTTAACATATTACCAGAGAAGGCAGATTACAACTATCAGCTTGCAGCGCTCGCTGGCTGTATTTAGTGTTTGCTTTACTGAAATAACTGTGTGTTATCTATTCACCTAAGATGTATATTGTGTCCACCAGAACTCAACTATCAAACTGCACAACAACAGTGCTGTGTATTTGTAGCGAACACCTCGTACAATACATATAGGTTTACAAGTCATCCTAATTCTTTCATACAAGATTTAGATTCTTCCTCTGCTGTGCATTCAAGTAGACAACAAAAAGCCTTTGCATTGTATAAACTGTTACTAGAGACAGACTTTTCATCTGTCCCTTGCATATCACACGTTGGAGCACCAAATATTGGACGGAGACACTATATGCCCAGGTCATACATTGTATGTGATAAGGAGAGTGAAAAGCACATGGGGAGACAGCCAAGAAGCCTACAGAGTGCAAAGCTAAAGGAGTCCAGGAAAAAATTCCTAAGATAAACATGGAGGCCGACATTGCTACTTCCCATTCTGCAAAAAGCTAGCTGCCTGGCTGTCATGTTAACTCTTTTGCTTGAATACTTTGAGTCACTGACCTAAAACAAATATACAGATAAGCACTTCTGACTTTTTTATGATGTTGCCAATCTGAATACTGGTTACAAATCAGTGAGAAATCACTGAAGAAAGTAATGAAGCTACAGGATCAGTTTAATATGGCAATACCCTTGCATCTGCAGTGGATGTTGTTTCCTTAATACCTACAAACTACATTATATGGTTAAAAATAAGCATCTAAGAAATCTACTGAGGACCACTCTTTACCTTTTTTTAATTACAGTGGCAACTGCAACTTGAGAAAGGTCCATAAACCATTTTAAGAAGTATCCATATACAAAATAGAAGAGTGGTTTTTATCCAATGGAACAAAGCATGGGGACTCATTAATTATAGAGCAGAACTCCAGCAAAAAAACATGATAAATATGGATAGCCCATTAAAATATAAAATAACAAAAAAATGTTTGCTGCAATATTCACCTTCAGGTCTGAGATTTCCTCCTGATTACTTTTTTTTCTGCCACTAAATGCCCTTATTCCACCTCAGTACATCAGTCCAGCATCATTCAAGCACTTCCTCAGAGCCTAGGTCATCCTGAACCTGCCCTAGCCTGTGACTCAACAGTGAGGAGAAGCAGCACAGTGATTAGCTCATCTTTCACTCTGCTTTATTTTCCTATCAGCATACTACTTATCAGCACATGCACAGATTCGCTCCTTGTACTGCTTCTTCCTCTCACACTCCAGGCCTGCTACATAGGGACTGCAAGAGGCTGATACCAGGTCAAATTCAGATACTTACACTGCTTGTATTTAACCTCTTGCCGTCCGCCCGTAGTAAAAAAACGGACGGACGGCACTGCAGCATCTGCGGGTTGCCGTCTCCAGACGGCAATTTTTTTCTGCTCGCGCACGCCCCCTAGCGGGCACGCACGGGCAGAAAAGACCCGTCCAATGCGAACACCCGGTACCGGGTGTTTCACATATAGGCGATCAGCGGGTCCATAGCCCGCCGATCGCCTATATGTGCTCGTTCGCGGCACAGTACAGCGCTGCATGACGGAATAAATGTCAGTTAAAGTACCGCAGCGCTGAATACTGAAAAATGGCCTGGATGGGAAGGGGGTTTAACACCGCGGATGTCAACTGGTTAAAACACATTTATTGGTGTAATTATGATTACAGAGATGCATTCATTTAAGTCTTTGATATCTGTCTAGAGTTCAGCTTTAAATTTTTAAACTGGCCCCATGGGCATTTCCAGAATAAGGTCAGCAGTGACATCCTGGGACCTTCCTGCTGCCGGTCTGCTGGTGTTGATTGTGGATAGCACCAGGCCAGACAGACAAAATGCATAGTAGTATACGTATGTGATGGACACACCTGGGAGCTTTCCAAAGTTGGGGAGCATGAAATAGGGGTGGACTGAGGGGCAGGATAAGAGGAGGGGCTAAAAGTGGTGCAAAGTGGTGCACATGGTGCTCTGTGCTGAGATGGAAGCAATGGTTTAATATTGGAAAACAGTGCGCTGTGGCCAAATATGAGGCACACAGTGTTGAGGTAAGACAGTGACAGGCCGTTGGAAGATTAAATTATGCAGTAAATAACAGAAAGGACACAGCGTGGGGATCACTTTAATTGTTGGCAAGGTGCCTGGGGGACGATGCAATTGGGTTAGGGGGGTTTAGAGGTTGTACACATGCCTCATGATAACCTCATGGAGACAGGCAGCACAGACCAAAGTTTCTCCAAACTTACGTTGGCCAGCTGAAGCAGTGACAGGCTGTGTGTGCCCAAAGTCACTGTCAATTTGGCTTAGTAAGGGTATAGCAGCATTGAAGGTGGTGAGTGGAGTATGCTGTTGCCACTGTTGTTTCTCCTCCTGCAGCCCTAATCTCTTGACATGACTGAAGGGAACAGCATTGGCATGGGTGCGTTGGTCAGGAAGGAGGAGGTGAAGGATGAGAGACAGCATAACCCTCACCTCCTCCCTGCTCTCTCCTCCTCTGTTCACTGCTTTTGGCACCTAGCTGACAGGAATAGTGATGCTATCACTACTCTTGTCAGCCTGTAGTGGTGGAGCCAAAGGAAACCCACCATAGCCTCCCCCTTCCCCACATGAAAACACTGTTCCCAGGACAGCTATACATGCCCTTCATCCCAGAGTTCCCCTTTCCTTCTTGACCCATCTGCAACATATCATTGTATAGTTATCTTTTTTCAAGGGGTTGTCTGTCCAGTCACGTGATGTCCTCTTCTTCATCTTCCTCCAGTGGTGAGTGGGTCCTGAATGCTCAAGAGAATATAAAATGGCACCATTCCCTGCAGCATTCTCCTGTTAGTCCAGGGTGGCTTAATAAGGCACCCCAGGCAGTGAAGGTCCTTAATTCCCTGGGCGCACAAGTGGCTTAAACAAGATTGGATATCATTCAAATAAGAAAAAATGATGCTGGATTGTAGAGTAATGTGCTCCAATATTTGGATACACACAGGTTCTCTTTATTTACTAGTCTACATAAAATCTGCATGTTTTATGAAAAGAGTGTAATGTTTTGTGATTTAGTAAAAAAAATCTTACTTTGTATTATGTCCTTAGGGTTTGATGTCCCTTGTGGAAGAGTTAAGAAAAGTTGAGAATCTGAATGAAAACGTTAGAATCGTCCTACTTGGCTTGGACAATGCTGGAAAGACAACAATATTGACCCGGCTTGCTCTGGAGGAGGCCAGCAGTATAACTCCAACACAGGTATGTGTGTTTAAAACCGGCGCTCCACTGACTTTGGAATATAATCTTGTGTAATTGCAATATCTCATTAAAGGAGAACTATGAGATGAGTGATTTCCACTCACCTCATAGTTCTAGCCGACCTGTGACAATGAGACTGTCACAGGTCGGCTCAGTAGATCGGGAGGTGAGCGAACACATACCAGGTCCGCTCACTTCTCGATCCTGTCACGGCTCTCTGCCGTGACATGGGGAGGGGCTGGATTCCCCTCTCAGATCTGCCAGCGCTGACTGGCGGAACGGACGGGGGAGGGGGCTGGTACAGCTGGCTTTGCCTCTAGATAGGCAGAGCCAGCTGTCACTCACGCAGCTGGGCGGATCCCGTCATCTACGTCGGGTATCCGCTCCTGCTGCGGCGTCTCAGTATACCGCGAGCTGTAGCTCGCCGTATACTGAGCTTAGGGTAACGGGAGGACGCTAGTTTGTGTCCTCCCGCTACCCTACGGAGAACTATGGGGAAAAACAGTCAACCCATAGTTCTCCTTTAAGGATTCCCTATTGGTCCTTGTATGACCAGTAGGTAGTTTGGTCCTTTAGTGGAAACAGTTTTAAGTTTTTTGCAGTAGTATGACTCAAAGCCACAGTTGAACAAACCGAAGAACCAGGCCTCCACAAAGAACCTTAGAGGGATTTGTAGTAACTCATTTCTGTTTAGTGAATAACCGTTTTTGTGAGTGAGGGTGAGCTATTTTAGATGTTTAAATGTAAAGTTCTGGGCTGTGCACTTTTGAAGTTGGTCATGCTGCAAGTCTCTCTGGCTATTGTGCAACCAACAAAAATGTATGTGAAATCTCAGTACAGGAAGATGTGTGTGCACAAGACGAGGATAATAGTATGTAGAAATACGTCACTTAACTTAATGGCAGTAGCCTTTTAAAAACTAGGTCATTACTAATATCATACTTGTCTCCATTTTTACTTTGTTGTAGGGTTTTAATATCAAAAGTGTCCAGTCTCATGGTCTGAAGCTATCAGTCTGGGACATTGGAGGTCAAAGGTCCATTCGCACACACTGGAAAAAATATCTTGGAAGCACAGACTTACTGGTGAGATAATTCTACCCAATTGTCACATACAGATGGATCTAAAAATCGCAATACTAATCAATAAATATATATTTAACCTCCCTGGCGGTCTGATTATGTCAGTATTTTTGAATGTCAAAGCGGTACATTGTTTTGCATGGAAATTTGTTGTTTGATATTGTAGGCCTGTAATTCTTAGTATTTCCTAGTAATAAATCTGTCCAAACAAGAGTCTAGTAGACATCCCGGGTATGATCAAGTTTGAAACACGAAATCATAAATTATAATATAATAATTATAACAAATAATAATATAATAAATGTTATTCAATAATGTAATCAAACCAAAAACACTGAAATTTGTCCAAACAAGGGTGCAATATTACTAGTCACTGTAATACTAGACACTGCATATTGGTTTAGTAAACATCCCGGGTATGAAAAATCGCAGAATCGTCGCTGTCGTCACTTTCAGTGTCTGATGATGTATTTCCCCACGAATCACTATCGCTCAATTCTGCAAGTGATTCTAATTTACTATCGCTGTTTTCTAGCTGGTCTAAAACCGCTTATGACCTAAAGGGATGCTTTTTGGATGCCATGGACATTCTCAAGTTTCCAGGCAACAATAAAAGTGCAGGCAGGGCACTGGACAAAGCTCTAGGGACAAAACTGAGGTGAAATGGTGTAACACCTGGGGTAGTTTAGGCGTTTGTGGATCACAACTGCGGAGGCTACTCAGACGGAACCCTGGTTTGACTCCCAATCTTAACGGGGAGTTAGGGTTCAAGCATCACAGCCAAAAGAAACAAAAAAGGAAGAGGGGATATTACAGCATATTCCCTTTCTTGGTACAATACCCTCAATTTGTAATGTTTAGGAATGATAACTGAAATTCAGGAGTGTAACAGCCTTATTTAGAGTCAATGATGTGATCTCCCAACAGTCCACTAGATGGAGCACAAGAGCTACTCCACGGCACTTTAGTTATACAGTCACTAAGTTTAAGCTGCAGGGCAATGGGCACAAGTACTTGCAGTTTGAGTGGAGTCAGTTAAGGTGCAGGGGTCCAGGAGGAATCGATCCCGAGATGTGTAGTCCTGCAGGCGTGTAGGAGAGCTGTGGGGTCCCAGGAGACAGTAGGCGTTCAGTCTGCATTAGTGGAACGCCATACTGTCTCACTGGGGAGCTTATATAGGGCCAAGGGCTGGGGGTGGAGCCGCTGATCGAGGCGGCGCACTTCCGCGTCCCACGGTGGAACGCATCCGACGTCCGAACCCGGAAGTGGATGTGTGCGCTCCACCCTGGGACGCAGATGGCCGGCGGCGAGAAGCGGCGGAACCGTGCCCCCCCCGGGCCCCAGGTGAGCGGAGTCGGCGGTTCCCGTTACAAATGGTTTGATACAGTAATGTAATCATAACAGATTACAATGTATTGTGCGTATGTCATGTTTTCACTTTGAATTTCCCGCCGGTTCCGCCCCCCTGCGACGCCGGCGCTCGCAGGGAAGGAACCCGGGAGACGGATGCCGGCATCGGCCACAGCGGGAGGACACCAGGGACTCGTAGGGACAAGGTAAGTGGCACTAAAGTGTAACCCCGAGTGTGGCTTGGGGTTACCGCTTTTGGTACTGAAAATTAACCCCGAGCCACACTCGGGATTACCGCCAGGGAGGTTAAACTACCAGTTATTAATATACTTTGACATAAATTTCAACATGATCCTAAAAAGTGTCTTTCAGCTCCCTTAGTCTTGTTGACAAAAGCCTTCATGGAACTTGTCAGATAACAAAAGTGTTCAGATTACCAATACCATGTGGTGCCTAGACGTGTCTTGATAACTACTCAGTTTATTTTCTGTGTGCTCAGGGAGTTCTTAGGTCAGGGAGAACATGATATGCATAGACTTTAACTTTGGAGCCAAGGCCCACCTTTTCTAAGCTCCCCCTCTCCTTGCAACATGTATCAGTCCAGTGTGGCAGACTCTGCTGACCACACAAATGATGGGGCATGGCTTAGCTATGGAGGAGATAGGCTTATCTTCCAGTCTCAGCAGAAATAAAGACTTATGCATAGAGTACACTGAGAATGTAATATGTCACCAGCAGCACAGAAAATAATTTGAACAAAGGTGATTGCAGGAAACATAAGGTGCCTGCATTTTAGGGGTATTATTTTAGGCTCAACCTTCACTTTTAAAAGTAGAACTATGGCCTCCCATTTAAAAAATGTTCTACAGCACCTAATTATAAGTGTATCTCCAGTTACAATTTTTTAGTCCTCCTACCAAGTCCCACAAATACCCGTTGATCCTGCCAGTGAAGTCCACCTTATACAGCTTCCTCTAATAGTGTGGCAATGATGCTGCACTGCTCTGGATTTCAGAGCAGAGTTGCCATCCTCATGTAAGCTGAGCCACTACAGTGGAATGAGAATATGCTGCATTATGACCACTAGATGACGCTGAGGAGCATGGGAAATTTCCTATACTCCTCAGCTCCATCTAGTGGTCATAATACAGTATTTTCCTGATATTGCATTTGACCTGGAAATAAAATATACTAATAACATTAATTTTGCCTCTATTTGCACAGAACAAATGCACATGCAATTTTGCAGGACAAATGGCTCTGTGACTTGTTTATAAAAACACTCCATAATGTTGTTGCCTAAGATATGCTCGTGTAGCATAAAAAGTTCCAGACTTCGCCCCTGCCTGCCATTACTGTTGAGGTTCTCATTTTTGCTGTTGCTGCATAGCTTGTGCATTTGTATTGGTGGAGTAGTGTACTGTGTGCTTACAACTCACTCGCTCTACAAACGTTTAGCAGAGTACGGTGACAATTTGCCCCACTCTTCCAGGTGGCATTTCTAAAGGTACTGACACAAGTGGACAAAATGATTTTATGGCTAACCAGTGAACTGGTGTGGGGTGACAGCAGAAGACATTTGGCCTAAAGGAAGAGGAATTATAAATTGGGCCCTGGAGATACTAATTCATGCAATATTTGTATTGTATAAGTAGGAAATAAAATAATCATGCTGCAATAACATTTCTTTGGTTTGGTTTCAGATTTATGTAGTGGACAGTGCAGATCGTAAACGGTTTGAGGAAACTGGCCAGGTATGATGTTCTGAAACCCTTCCTAAGAGTCTTTAAAAGAGAACTTTGGGCTAAATGCAGGAACTGATCCTTGTACAAAGGAAAGGAAGGTCCTCTTCCATCCTGACCATCTGCTTTCTAATTCCTTTGGGTTGTTAGTACTAAAATTCTGAAATAAGCGACAACACAGGGGTGGGTATTGTATGCTTTATGTTTAAGTTGGGTTCATTCTACTATGCATATTAACCTGTTGACGACTTATCTTCAAGTGCTGGCAAGACTAAGACTAAGTTGCACTCAGAAAATGGCTACTATACAAATAGAATGGTTCCACTCCTATACCCCTCTTTAGCCTGTACCTTTGGCTATTGTGTGGCAATGTAGGTTGTATAACAGTATGTTCACCTCTGTGTAAGTGATAACCTGCCCCCATTGCCACAGGTGCAAGTGTCATTTAACAGCCCCCTAGTTATACAACTACATATTAAAGTACATCTAAAAACAAAAGTTGTTTTGTTTTGCATAGAAAAAGCAATGGTTGAAATTCCCTTTTTTTTGTTTTAGGTGTTTGTGTCTGGGGACTTAATTCCCTCTCATAGTAACAGGAAATCTCCCAGGGGAACCCCTTCTAAGACAGCTGTCAGCAGAAAAGGTGTCTCCATTGAAAGATTTCTCCTATATTCTTGTTCCCCAACTCCTGGAGGCCGTGCTATAAGCCTACTGAACAGGAGTGCATGGGTACAGTCCCGTATCAAGATCTGCACTGCTAGTTTTCAGGAGGAATTAGAGACAAAGGGTAGATCTTTCAGGGTACTGCTTGGGCAAAATTAAAGGATAGTTAAACCCTCGCATGTTTTGGCATATATCTACTGCTAGAAAGCAGTAGATACAGGTGAAACTCGAATAATTAGAATATCGTGCAAAAGTAATTGCAGTAAGTGCTGCAAAAGGGGCCCAAACCAAGTACTGAGTACATATGCATGCTTATACTTTTCAGAGGTCCGATATTGTTCTATGTATAATCCTTGTTTTATTGATTGCATGTAATAATCTACTTTTTTGAGGTTGTGGATTTGGGGTTCTTGGGGTTTTCATGAGCTGTAAGCCATAATCATCACAATTATGACAAATCACGGCTTGAATTATCTTGCTTTGCATGTAATGAGTCTATCTCATATATTAGTTTCACCTTTACCGCTGTGAGTTCCTGTCCCAAGATCTGAAGATTCTCGGATGGGTGCATGCGCAGTAGAGATCATCGGCCGGGAGAAGAGGAGAGACACAGGGTAAGTCAATGCAGCAACGTGCACCCACACAGACTCCGTGGGACAGGAGCCAGCGCTGGATCAGAGACCGGCACCCGCGCTAGAGGAACTTCTGAAAACTACTGGAAAGAAGATGATCGGATCAAGAGGCATCATTTAAGGTAAGTCCTTAAAGCAGCATGTTGGGGGGGGGGGGGGTTTTAT